GGAGATGCTGACAGGCATCTCACAGTGCAAATAATGCAAGACAATACAACAAAGAGAAACCCATGGTCCAAAAACCAGAGAGGCAAAACCTATCCACCTTCATAACTACTCCTGCCAATTTCTAGGCATATCATTTATTTCCTTAAACATTATGGGGATACCTGCTTTCAATTCACAACCACAGATTTAGTACACTGACCTAGAATGTGAGAAATCATGTTCAATTTCCTTTTCTGCTCTAGGGGATGTGAATCAAGATCTCCACAAAGATGAGTTAGTCTGGAATAAATATATGGAAAATTGCTCTAGCTTCTTGACCATGCATGGACAAATTAAAAATTATTTTGCTTAGAAAGGAAGTGACTCTCACAATGAATTTATATTCCCATGCTTACAGTAGAGAAGATAATCTGGAGTCAGCTGTGTTCCAACAATACTTGTGACAGAGTTAAAATGCATTTAAATGTGCATTGGAAGATGGAGAAGTGAAGTTCTTGTTTTTTGTCCCAGATGAGGGACAAAGTCTTCAAAGACCGATAGATTTCTAAGTCAGGCTTTGCTGTCTTTAACCACTGGGCATCACTGTGCTAATACAGCAACAATCCAGAGAGATTACAAGGAGAAGTTGTGTCTGAGCAGCCCAGTCAGTAAATGCAGGACCTGGTGCACTAACTGGCTTAGGAGGAAAAGTGGTGTTTAGCCCAAAGAGAAATCCTTGCAGCCCCTGTCAGATGGATGTGTTGGGTGTGGGAACTGGGCCTGTGGGCAGCTGTCGTGGCTCAGGTCCCCTGCACTGCCTGCCAGACCAGGGGAGGACAGAGCCTGGGGAGGTTACACACCCCAGTGCCTGCCACCACCAGGATTGCACTGTGGGACTTGATTGCAACAGGTGAAGTTGTCAGATTAAAAATGGGAGGTGAGAGGGTGTGGAAGGTGCAAAAATGAGGGGGAGCTGCTCTGGCAGAAGCTGTGAGAAGCTAGCGTGAGGGATTGTGAACCTGAGACAGTTCTGAGATTCTCAATACCCCAGAAAGATCAATTCCTTTACTCTGCCTGCCTTCCTGCCTCTTTGGGAGCTGCATGTGAAGCCAGTGGTACCACCAAGGCTGTGCACTGAGAGAGCCCCCGGGGCGATATTGCTGCCGAGTGGAGCAGCAGCATCTCGTTTCCACCAGGATACAAAGTGCCCAATGCAAAAGGCTCTGCCTCAAATTTCAGATGATCCCAGAAAAGTATGACCCAAAAATATATCTGAGAGTAATATCTGGTCTGTTGTGCTTTGATCCTTCAGTGAATATTGAATTTTGACTATTAAAAATACATGAAAAGTATTCAACAGCAATCAAACATCACCTTCACCACAAAAAATAAACCTTCCCCAGTTTTGTTGCTTTCTTGAAGTCATAAGTATATCAGACTATGTGCTGAATTCCCCCTTTTAAAAGAGCTGAAATTTTGCATTTTGCTAATAATCCCCTTCACTGTAGGAACTACAGAAATTAATATACTTCCAGAGTTTATCTGGAAGTCCCAAATCCAAAAGCATTAGTCATACTACAGAAATGGCAAGCAAGGGAATAATGGCCTGCAGTTAAAACTGACAAGGAGTAGCAAGTTACATACGAGGCAAAACTTTGTGAAGCAACAGTGACGGTGTAAAAAGTGACAGTGCACACAGCAGACGTTTTTCTGATTAATATTCAAAATTCCTGATAAAATTATTTTGGTGGTGGTACATGTCTGCATGTGCCAACATTATTTTTGATGAGTCCAGTTGCCACATGTTGAGTTCTCTCCGAGGAAACCCTGAAACAAGACACTTATGCAGGATGCAGAGAGACCTGGGAAATTCAGATTCCTACATCTCCTCCTCTTGTTTAAGTTCTTTTGAAGGACCCAGCTGTGTTCTTGCCCATCCAAAAAAAATATCTAGTAGGACCACCATGGCTGCTCCATGGGAGTAGTTAGCTGGAAATTTGAAGAGCTCAGAAGGAAAGGATGAATAGAAGATACAGGACAAAAATTTGTAATTGCCTTTAATTATTCTTAGATAATTCATCAGAGGAATAACATTTCCTGATTTGACAGTATGGATTAATTTTAGCAGTCTCTGAGTAGCAGAAAATGATTACATTAGAAACAAGAAAAAATAGCCTGTGGCACTTTTCCAAGGGAGATTTCAAAATCTGAACAATTTCACAGGAAAATTGAAGTCCATTTCTGATACCTTGATGACCTAAATGCAAACTAAACTAAACAAATTTGTGCATAGTTTTAAATATTACTTCCCAAAATGAAACAAATGTTGGAACTGGGATTGTACTGGGGACAGAAGTTTCATTTTTCAAATATACGTGCTAGAAATATAAACTAAAGTGAAATTAGATATCAGCTTTTATTGAGACTCCCCCAAAGTAACACAATCCAAATAGACTCAGTGGTAGAGCTGCTCCAGGATGATTTGATTAAATGTTTTTGATCTGAAAATGATAGCTCCAACTAAGTTGAAAAGTTTTATGTATAGAAGTCATCTAAGAAGAATTTGCAGTAAAATGAAGTCTAAGGTGCATCAGAAAACTGCCAGGCTTCATACTAAACTGTCTCATGGTTTGCCCAAAGGACAAACTTTAATCTGGGGCTTGGCTGCTTCATCAGGAGGAATCCCTCATTCAAAATACTCCTGGGTGTTCGGGGTCCTACTCCTACCACAGTCCCAGCATATCGCTGCTCAGGAGACACAAAGTCCCAAAAGCTGCATCTCCCAATCAAGCCCAGCTTGACTCTGCTTTGTGTCAATGAGGGCATCTATGGCAAGTACAAAAAGTGTGTCTGCTTCTCCTCTGAACACTCATGAGGTGAGGAGGTCTTTGATTCCTAAACCACCTGCTTCATTTCTCACTCTGGCTTACCCCAGAGAGGACCATTTGGTGTTTGGGATTTACAGTGGAAGTCCTGGGTTTAAAATGGCTTTACCTCATGGTCTCAGGGAAGAAATTAAATCCCACAGAAGGATGCCACACCCAGAGGAATTGTTACCTATTTCACAGTCTTCTATTCCAGGCATTTCCATCTTTCTATGTCAGAAGCTGAGATTTTTCTTCTTTGAACTGATAACAATAAGTATCAGCTATTGCTAGCAGTCTAACAGAGAACCATATATCACTCCCTACATATCTATTCATGTCTGTGTTAATTATCTTTTAGATTTATTAAAGTCTCATGGTGTTAGAAACATAGAATCCAAGTTCCTTACAAGGACTACCAAACACTGTACAAGTTAAATCCCCAAAGTGGCTCATCTGTATTTCATGAAGTCAACATTAAATTTTTCTTTGCCATTATAATAGCAAACATTGCTGGATGTAATGAACAGCAAGTTCAGGGGCTCTGGATCTGGACTGGATGCAGATGTGCTTGTGGTGGGGAAGCTGTGTTACCTGCAGCTGTACTTTAAACAGATTTATCATGCAGCTGGCTTGAACCTGATTTTGCATTAGATTTCCTTTCTCATAATTATCAAGCGAACTAAAATGACTGTTTACTTGTGCAAAAAAATATCCATTAAAGCTGAAATAAACCAAGCAGTATTTGTGGTATTAGTCATAGTAATATAGCAGGTATTTTTGTTCTCTGCTAACAACAAAATTTCTCTATTCCCCATCACCCTGTGCTGACCTCTATGGATCCATTTATAATTGACCATTGCTGCTGTTCGCTACCCATGGGAATTAAGTATTGCTATTGATAACTTTACTTTGACTTAATCTAGGCCTGGACAAAATAGGATTTCCTGATAAATACACATAGATGCAAAAAATACACTGGCAAAAAAAAGATTGTGACAGACAGTTAGAGCAAAAGCTCATGGATCACGTTAGATTTACTTACAATTAAATCTGAAATTTGCATGTGGGTGGTAGTTTCTTTGCAGGTCAAAGACTGAAGTGAATCTCTTACCAAACACCTGCTAGGAATATCTAGCCTAAAATTCACAATTTTCCATCTGGAGGGAATAAAAAAGGGTGGGAAGCAGGCAGCAGGCCTAGATAGCCCACACAGACAGATTTCAGAGAAACCAAATGGAATCAGTTGGAATATCTGGAGCTGGGACTCTGTAGAGGTCCAAGCCTGCTGTTGGTGATCTTTGGGAGCAGAGTAGGGAGGAGCTGAGGTATTTCAGCAGATGTATTGGCATGTTCCTCATAGCACTGCAGAATCATATTGAGGAAAAAATACTTCTCTCTGGCTCTCTGTTAGAGTAGCTGAAAATTTCTGCTTGTGAAAAATGTCCTTGGTGCACAAACTGCCCACTTGTTCTGCCTTTCTGACCTTCCACATGGTTTGCCCAGTACAGCCTGACAGACTGCACAAAAGTCCCATAAAATCAGATGTGTGGTGCCAGACAATGGCTTGCCCTCATTTTTATGAAAACTACCTCACCATGGCTGCTGCTGTGGCGATGCAAAGCAGAAAGTAATCTATTAATGAATACCTGTATTCATCCCCTATACTTGTCTTTGATGGCTAGGTACCAATAATTTAGCAAGTGCCATGTTCTGACATTCACTCCAGAAGTTCAGACTGTCTCAATGGTATGGCAGCACCAGTAATATAAAGTACACTGACTTTCTCTCTAGAGCAACATTATTTATGCATGACATGGAATAATGCCTAACAGGAGCAATGAAAGGAAGAAAAGTGCAATGAGCTAGTGTGTATATGATATGACCTTGTTAACATTTCACCACAGCATAATCTTTTTGTACTTTCAAGCATGATAAGTTAATGCATGCCACTGTGAGACACATTGGAACTGACAGATAGACATGCATTTTAAAAACCCGGCTCAGCAACTGTCACTTTACCACTACGCAAAACGCATAAGGGACTGAAGAATGATGAGGAGAAACCTTACAGTAACAATAAAAATCCTCACTTGTATTCTTCAGAATACATGCAAATACCCTGTGGCTTCCATCTGCAGAATTTGACGAGAATAATCTAAATGAGAAATGTATATTGTGACAAACAACCGAGAGTTTAATTGGAATTGTGAATATTGGCATGAAAAGCTGGCAGTTGCTTGTGAATCTGAGGACTTGGTACCTACATAGAAAGCATCCAGACAGGGCTGCAGAAGCTGGTCATGGAAAAGGTTATATAGCTCAAGCTGTGTGCATGTGTAATGCAGGATCTCTCTTAGGAGTGAACCTGAAAAGAATGAATGGCATGTGAATAGGACACATACTTTTAAACCCTATCACTGTATAAGCTTGTTTAGATTGGGGATTTTGAAACTGGCAAAGCATTTTCTTCCCAAACACCACTTATATGACAAAGGAACTTGACTAAGTGGGAAATTGTGAGCTGTCAAGTAGATGTTGCATGACATAACACAAATGTCTGGTATTAGTTGCTTGATCCATAATATACCACTGTTAGTTCAGGATAAAAAAATTTAAAACACAGATAAATCTTTTGCATCAAATATTTTACTGACAGGCAGCATACATTTGCCTGCTGCATACATTTGGGGTAATTCTGATGCCTAAAAGTCTTCAGCAAAACCACTTGACCTTTTTGTAGCAGAATGAAGATCTAGATATTTATGTATTTTGG